CCAACCAATATAACTTCACCGATTTCATTAACGTCAATGTTGGCATCCTTCAAAGCAGATTTGCATGGTTGTACCGTCTGGTCGACGAGATTCTTTGTTAATGATTCAAGCGTGGCTCGAGTCAGTTTCATGTTGACATGTTTTGGCCCAGTAGCATCAGCGGTAATAAATGGAAGGTTTATATCAGTCTAGAGGGACAATATCGGCACGAATAAATTATGCAATCTTTAGAAAGGTTACTCGCTTATATCAAATATCATACCTGTAGGGTAGACGATAGTTCAATCTTCGCCTTTTCAGCGGCTTCGCGTATGCGTTGGATTGCCATTCGATCTTGAGTCAAATCAATCCCTTGCTACGTGAAGCACGAAAAATAAATCCATGAATCAAAGATTTCAAAGAGCGTTACTTTTGGAATTACATACATCTCTTTTGAACTGATCAACGATATGGTTAACCAGAGTAATATCGAAATCTTCGCCGCCCAGGTGAGTATTTCCATTTGTTGATTTAACTTCGAACACGCCCTTTTGTATCTCTAAGATACTTATATCAAATGTTCCACCGCCTAGATCATAAACCGCGATAATTTTATCGTCGGATTTATCAAGTCCATAGGCCAGTGCGGCCGCAGTAGGTTCATTAATAACTCGGAGTACGTTGAGTCCAGAAATTTGACCCGCGTCTTTTGTGGCTTGGCGTTGAGAATCGTTGAAATACGCAGGTACCGTGATAACTTAAAAAAGAAAGAAGCTTCGGAATCTATTCATATAATCATTTGACGTGTAAAATGGGTTTGTAATGTTTACCTGCATTTCTCACGGTACTCCCCAAGTAGGCCTCTATTGTAATAACATTTGCAGCAACGTTAAAAAAAAAAAGTATTACACGTAACCCCAATTAAACGAACAAACACACCTACCTGCAGTTTCTTTCTTCTTTGCTACCACGAATGCGCCAATCTGAGAAGGGCTGTATCTTTTTCCACGTGCCTCTAGCCACGCATCGCCGTTCGTGTGTTCAACTATTTTGTATGGAACACGTGAAATATCTCTTTGTACCTCTGAATCCTTAAATTTTCGGCCGATCAACCTCTTTGTAGCGAAAAATGTATTCTCTGGATTGACAACGGACTACATAGTACGAAAAGGGGTAAATCAAAGAATCGAATAAAAGAGCTCATTTAATGCAAATGCAAACATCCTAGAACACCTACATACCTGACGTTTAGCAGGCATCCCAACTAATGTTTCACCCTCCTTCGTGAAAGCAACAACGGAAGGTGTTGTACGTCCTCCTTCGGAATTTTCAATAACGCGAGGATTTTTTCCTTCCATAACGGCAACACAGCTGTTTGTTGTTCCTAAATCTATGCCGATCACTTTTCCTTGCGCTTTGGGACTATCGAGCAAAACTTGTGTGTAAGTTAAAAGTGGATTGTCTCGACAGGTAAGAAATTCTCCCTCAAGAAACGAACCTTTCCGCAGGAGAAGCAAATCGTCGCGAAAAGTCGTACAGGAGCTGATCAATTTCGAAATT